TGCAAGCATAAGAACGGATTCGAAGCATGGAGATTGTTGCACGAAAGATTCTGGATTTCCGACAGAGACCAAGGAATGGAAACATTAAGCCGAATTTTCCTTTTTGAGTTTAGGAAGGATTTCTTCCAAGAAGATTTCTGCCTTCATTGTCTTGAAGATGAGATATGAGACTGGGAGATGCATTGAGTGAAGATGTTCTTGTCGCATTGCTCATAAGCAAGACTGAGGAAGCATTGTCAGGCTTTCTTCGATTGCATTAGGATGCATTGGGAACATTCGATCGGGCCGTTGACTTAGTCAAGAGTCAAGAGCTATTGCAGATTCTGTCGATCCACATCTGGCAGATTGATTCAGCCCAGCATCTCAGCATCAGTTGCTGCGGATGATTGTCACAGAGAGCGAAATCAGAGATTCTGAGAGGAAGAGAAGCATTGGAAGATTGCAAGAAGAAGAGAGATTTCGAGGCCTTACTACGCGGACATTGGAATACATATCCCACCTTGTTGAAGATTCGGAGTTGATTGGCAAAAGAGAAAAGGAAGGAGAAAAGGAGATTGATGAGGAACAGGATGTCAAGGAGATTGAGGAAGCACAGGAGATTGAAAAAGGAAAGGAAGGAGAGTCATTGAAGGACGAAGGAAGGAAGAGGAACAAGGAGAACAGATTGGAAGATGAAGAGGATTGCGTCAGGATTGAAGGAGAAAGAAAAGAGGATCAACGAGATTGTTATGTCGAGGAAGATTCGACGGATTGCTCGAGCGAGGATTCCTGGTATTGCAGCGTGAAAGAAAGTGAGAAAGAAGAAGAAGAAGGAAAGGAAGAGAAAGAGAGATTGGAGAAAGAAGGGAGTTGCTGTTTCGCAGATGCAGCATTGAACGTCGACATTCCACACTTCATTGAGTTTTCTCAGACCAAGTGTTCGGATTGCGTTAGCATAGAGAAGTGTTTTGATTGCATGTGTGACCCGATTAACGACATGGGCGTTAAGCATTGTGTTTGGACATGGCTTAGCTCTGATTGCGCGTTGGACTCGACACAGTCACATGTTGATTGTGTTGAGTTTGATTGCATGAAGGATTCTGATTGCTGTAGTCATCATGACTGCATTCCTTCAGACATTGCCTTAGAAGAACCGTGCATTGCGCCTAGCTCTGAGATTGGTGATCAAGTTTCATCCATGTCGATCGTTAAGCGATTGATCGATTGCCGCGCGACTTTTGCCACGAATTGGAGGAGTTTGGATGTACTAGAACATTGCTCATGCCATGAGCAATTGAGAATTCGTTTTGGCATTTTGATGTGTTCGCTTGTCACGATTATTGTCGTGTTTTGCGGATTCATGAGTGCTCCGATTGATCGTAGAGCACTTCTGCACGGACTGCAACCAGTCTTCAGGTTTCACGGAGATTGTTCATCGGGATTCATTTCGGACGTTGGATTCCTTGAGGATGATTGCAGATTAGATGATTATTGCGTCTTCGATTGTTTTCACCTTGGGTTCAGAGAGGATCTTCTTTGTCATTGTTGTTCGAGTACTGGAGTTTGCGATTTATTGCCTCAGGATTCAGCGATTTCGATTCAGCAGGAACTTGATTGCTTGCGAGATTCTTCTGGCGAGCATTGTACTGCTTTCAACCAAGAGCATTGGAGCATGTGTATTGATCCTTTAGAGAACATTCAGGCTGCTCATTGTCAGACCGCGCATTCTGCATTCCACATTGAGTCAAAGGTCTCTTGGATTGGGATCTTGCGATTCTACACTGAGCACAACCTTCGTGTGTTCTCGAATTGCACTGGCACGAGCATTGGTCAGTTGGATCATGCTATTGCCGTTGACAAACCTGTCTGTGATGAGATTGAGCTCTTCAGGTTTGAGCGCGACTCTGCCATTGATCTTTGGAGCTTGATTGAACACTTCCTTTCAGTGTGCACATTGCAGCTGAACAGTTGTCACAGTATTGTCACAACGTGCGACCATGCTGCGCACAGATCATTGCTTAGTCTTCGACCATTGCTCAGTTCATTACCACCACGACCCATTCGATTGTCACGTCATTCTGATTTGTGTGATGGATTCCTTCGGTATTGTTTCCATCATCATTGCTCATTCTCTGGTTCTTGTCAGCTTCGTATCTCATTGGCTTCGTACTACATGGATTGTATCATTTCAATTCATTGCAAGCCATTGTACTCCACGTCACCATTTTTGAGGCTTATGCCGACGCCAATAAACGCCGGCTGGCCAAAAGTGGTACACGGAGCTGCCGTTGAGCATGTGCGTCGCAATTGCCTGTCACGACTCATTGTAATAGATCTTGTCCTAATAGAGAGCATTTTGCATATCAGCCGCGATGGCTGGTGTCGCAAAAAGAACTGCGAGTTCGCTCACAAGAAGGACGAGCAAACATTGAGCATGGGCATTGCAACCTGTTTCCCACGATGCATTGCAATAGAGTCTGCCATAATAGATTGCGTTTGCATTTTCTATTTTTGGGCTGCAAAAAAGGCGGTGCCACAAGAAACATTGCAAATTTGCTCATGGCGACCATCTTGCATTGTTGACGGTTACCACAATCTGATTGTACGACTTCCGACGACGAGTTGCATTGTCTTTTACGTTTCCATGGACATTGTTCAAAAACTACTGAAAGACGGCACTCAAGAAGCGCTACCACAGATTGATTGCACGCGTCGCCATCTCGAGCCGAGGGACCGAGATTGTAAAGATTGTCTTGACATTGACATTCGCGTTCATGATTTTCTTTCGCGTTTCATGGAGCATTGTGCTCATGTCATTGATCGATTGCGGCTGTTCGATGTCGACCGCTCACACGCTTGTCCATTGCAGATTGCTTTGCTGACATTCAGGAGCATTGACATGATTCAGAACGAGTCAAGCATTGGAGATCAAAGACATTGCGTCATGAGATTTCATGGACCCACTTCCTTGATTGTGATTCCATCTGCTGATCGTTATTTTTACGTTCGGCATTCTGAGAATTGCTGCCTCGTTTCTACCCATTTGCGCATTGCATCCTCCATTGAGTCGAAGCAAGCTTCTTGTGATTGCGATCGTGTGTTTGTTCATCACTCTTCGCGATTTCGCTTCTTGATTGACGAAGAACACTGCTGTGCATTGGGATTGCGTGCCGCTTACGCACATTCGCCCCTTAGAGAAGATTGCGAAATTTGGCTTGAGCGTGATTTTGCGCATTGTTGTGACATTTGTTGTCATTCACGCAGACCGTTGGACACATTGGGCGTGAGAGAGCTTGAGAGAGAGTGTGATTGTCAAAAAGACTTGCGGATGTTCAGTCACGCGTTGCATTGATCTCATCTTGGAGATTCTCAGGAAGGACCTCACCATTGAATCTAAGGTTGTGAGTTCGATTCCCACTCACCACGCAGATTGCGTTGATAAGATTCATGCAGAACTATTGCTGTTCTGTGCATTTGCTGAGGAACTCAGAGATCGTGACGACAAGTCTGGAGATCCATTGAGACTAAGGTCATCCATCCCATTGAGATCGCTGCATGCGATTTCACTGTGGTATTGCATCGACCACGTCTCTGATTGCAGTTGCATTGGATCCGGTTTCTCATTGCCTCTTACTCGCCTTTCCCTCTCGATTGTCTCGAGGTCATTGGCTGAACGACTTGTTCATTGTCACTCTCAACTTATCATTGCTGATCTTGATTCATTGTATTTGTTCATCCACACCACCGTTTCTTTCAAGTGTCTGGATTGTCATTATTCTTTTGTTTTGGTGCTTCTCTATTGTATTGACGAGCATGACATTGATTGCACGAACTGGATTCCACGGATTGGAGGAGACCAGCTGATTCATTGCCACGTCTCTGGTGTTTCAGGCTCGTATGAGCACTGTGGCAGGATTCGGCATTGCATCTACTTCTCTCGAGTGACTGAGGAACCTCTTGGATTGACTAAGGAACCTCCGATGATGTATTCCTGCGTACCACCGAGGATTGTCACTTTCAAGGACACATTGACACACTGCGGACAGATTGTGATGACATGTTCTGAGATTCACATGATTAACATTGAATTATGTCGACTGATCATTGCGAGTCGGTTTCATCGATCTATTGTCTCTTTGAGCATTCCTCATTTGTCCTCATATTGTGGATTGTCGGAGAGTATGTCACTCTGTTTGTATTGAGGATTGGTCTTTCATTCCTCTGTCATGTGTCTTGGAGAAGAGCTATTGCCCTTCCATTCATCATTCTGCTCACTTCTATTGTCTTGGTCATCACTGTCTTGAGATCCTCATTGTCTCATGTGAGTCGATCTCGACTGTGTTCGACCACCATTCCATTGAGAAAACCTCCCCCCCCAAAAAAAAACCAAACAAGCATTGTTTCATCTGTTTCACGAAAGAATTGACTCATGTCCCTTGGTCAGGCGAGGACTTTCATTGTGCAAGGGACCGCCCTCGCATTGTATAGGATAAGGACCGTCTGACTTTCAGGTGATTGGAGCCTATTGCATGTTCTACTGAGGTGCATCTTCCTCAGAGTGCGTATTGCACCAGTGAAATAAAGAAGAGGTGAGAATTGAGAGAATTTGTTTTCTTGAGCTCAGCATGTGCATTGACAAGGCTGTATTATCATTCCTGTTGAGGCAGATTGACCTCGCAAAGGAAAAGGTCTTGGACCAACCATTGTGTTTGAATTGCAAGAAACAAGAATTTATCTTTTGAAGAGATTTTGCATTTGATTTTGAATTGTACAAAGCATTGCAGTGAAGAACCGAACATTCATTGTTTCGAGTTCTACACCATTGACCGATTCGACGTGTTTGGTCAATCATTGTTGTGTTAGCAACATTGTACATAGCACGATTTTAACAGCATTGAATGCGTTTTGAGATTGTAGCCTGGAGTGTGTGCTTTTGTGATTGTTCGATCATTTTCGCTCCCGCTTGCGATTGCTAATTGCACTCGTGATTGCATCAGATCGACCCATTGATTCTGATTGCCATGGCCACCAACGGAGCCCCGACATTGCGTCCACAGGCATTGGGGCCTGAGTATGTCATGGGCCCACCGGTCGTGACATTGCCGACCGAATCGCCATTGGAGCAAGTCCAGTGCATTGTGAGCTCGATTGGCGAGCACGCTCATCCACCGCACCACCAATTGAGGTGGAATTCGGAGATGGTATTGGCTCGCATGCGAGAAGCCATTGCCATTTTCTACGCCCACCTGGCGTGCATTGCCTCGTCATTGGAGCTGCACCAATGGAAGACGACACTCATTGAGACGACACAGATCATTGACAACTACGTCACTGTGACATTGGGAGAAGATGGAGGATTCATCCACCTCGATTGTCCGATCATCATGGAGATTGCAGAAATGGTGCATGACGCATTGGCAGCGTATTCGCGCCAATACGTGAGATTCAACAATAAGATTGGCGGAATTGAAGTGCAACTTGGATGGACGATTGGAAATAAGTATTCCCGGACATTGACTCCTGACGGATTCCAAGTTCATTGTGGATTCGCCAATTGCGTCTTTCTCAACCTATTGTGGGTTTGCAACCGCTGCATTGGGGCGATGCGCGAGACAGACATTGTGGACAACATTCCCATCTTTTCGCCAAACTTGGCGTTTCTCATTGTCGACAAGACAGTTGAGTGTTACAACGCATTGAGAAGCATATTTACGCGTTCCATTGCTGTGGAGGGCTTGATGGATTGGTTCTGCTGTATTGCTCTTCCAGCAAGTCTGATTGAGTCACTGAATGCTGGATTGACCACGGTGATACCCACGCCATTGGGTCAACTTAATGCCTAATTGAGCGTGGATGCCGCATTGAGAAAACTCTGTCATTGGTTTCGACAGAGCAGATTCAATGAGGCCCAGCAAAGAGAATTGGTGAAGATTCTCATTTTCAGACCATTGAAGCGCATGACTGATACTCGATTGAAGACTCCCGATGGTGTGGGAGGCTTTGCATTGTATCATAATTGCTCTTTTCTGTCAAGCTCATGGTGCCTAACCATTGACAGCCAGCAGCAGCAGATTGGCACGTACACCTACATTCTGGATGGATTGGTGCGCCAACACACCATTGTGTTGGAATTGCCTACCTTGACTGTTGAGTCATTGGCATCGATGATTCACAACAGCAGCTATGCGAATTGGTTTCCAACGGAGACGGTGCATCGCCATTGCACCTTGCCATTGACGCATCTGGAGATTGAAGGAACACCGGAATTGTACCATCTTTCGGAAAGTTGTGCAGAGATTGCTGCGGATGACATTGCCAACAGCGCAAGTGCAGGCATTGATTCGAGCACAGATTCAGTGCCATCCTCATTGACCAGAGAGGAGTACAACATTATGTTGTCTACTGCCGCTGCGATTGCGAAGAAGCGCAAAGGTCAGTGAAGATTGCCAGGAAGATTGGCGATTGATCCATTCACAAATCCGGATGAAGGATTGTGCCTACGGCATTGAGGAACAGTGCAGCACAGGCATTGCTGCCTCTCAACAGCATTGATTTTGATTTTGATTCTTTTCTGCTCCTATTGTTCTGGATTTGGCAACAAGTTGCTCGGATTGAGCACTGGACAAACTGGACAATTGTAGTCCACGCTGACGATTGAATGCTGATTCCATTTCCTTCGACGATTGCAATGTACCGACGGAGACATTGTTTCCTGGATGATGATTGCTCGTAGTTGGAGATTGGACGACTGCAGGACATTTTTCAGTTGTGATTGCAAAAGGAGTGAGATCGCAAGTGAGATTGTTAGTACAGTTGCGTGATTGCGTTTCCATCGGTAGATTGATTGCCCGATTGTTTCGATTATCGTGATATTGATTCCTATTCTTGTTTCATTGCTATTACAGTATAATTGCAGTACCAATAAATGAGCGGAGATTGTACAGGTGTGATTGCTGACGTGCCCCGTCGCAATCAAGGGACCGTGTTAGATTGCATGGTCATTCTCCAGCTCATATTGGCTACGGACATTACGATGCCTACCAATTGGCATTGGCTCAAGACTGGCTCATTGCATCCAGACAAAAGTCTGAGACCGAGTGATTGCATTCTGGAGCTGATTGAGATTTCCGGTTGATTGTTGTTGCCTTGATTACTGCACACTCCTGGTGATTCTCGAAGCGCTATTGAATTTTTCATGGTAGCGGAGCCCTGCGGCGAAACCCAGGGCACCGATTGGCTTTAGAGAAATTTGTAGAGATGAACATTGAGCTCGGTACTGCGGAAAGGAAAATGCGATTGGAACCTCCAGCATCATTCGCAGGAGACAAGGACAGTTGGGAAGATTGGAACTGGCAGTTGAGATTCTACGTAAAAATTCATTGTCCATTGGCTGTGACCATCCTGGACACTGCGTTGGCATTGGATATTGCTGTAGACGATTCAATCATCAGTTCATTCTCGAGTCAAGATTTCCCTGAAGAAAGATTGCTTGAATTTTCCACTGAATTGCATTATTTGCTTGTGAAGATCACGAAAGGATTTGCGGGAAGCATAGTCCGTACTTGCAAGCATGAGAACGGATTCGAATCATGGAGATTGTTGCACGAAAGATTCTGGATTTCCGACAGAGACCAAGGAATGGAAACATTGAGCCGAATTTTCCTTTTTGAGTTTAGGAAGGATTTCTTCGAAGAAGATTTCATTGCCTTCATTGTCTTGAAGAAGAGATATGAGACTGGGAGATGCATTGAGTGAAGATGTTCTTGTCGCATTGCTCATAAGCAAGACTGAGGAAGCATTGTCAGGCTTTCTTCGATTGCATCAGGATGCATTGGGAACATTCGATCGGGCCGTTGACTTAGTCAAGAGCTATTGCAGATTCTGTCGATCCACATCTGGCAGATTGATTCAGCCAGCATCTCAGCATCAGTTGCTGCGGATGATTGTCACAGAGAGCGAAATCAGAGATTCTGAGAGGAAGAGAAGCATTGGAAGATTGCAAGAAGAAGAGAGATTTCGAGGCCTTACTACGCGGACATTGGAATACATATCCCACCTTGTTGAAGATTCGGAGTTGATTGGCAAAAGAGAAAAGGAAGGAGAAAAGGAGATTGATGAGGAACAGGATGTCAAGGAGATTGAGGAAGCACAGGAGATTGAAAAAGGAAAGGAAGGAGAGTCATTGAAGGACGAAGGAAGGAAGAGGAACAAGGAGAACAGATTGGAAGATGAAGAGGATTGCGTCAGGATTGAAGGAGAAAGAAAAGAGGATCAACGAGATTGTTATGTCGAGGAAGATTCGACGGATTGCTCGAGCGAGGATTCCTGGTATTGCAGCGTGAAAGAAAGTGAGAAAGAAGAAGAAGAAGGAAAGGAAGAGAAAGAGAGATTGGAGAAAGAAGGGAGTTGCTGTTTCGCAGATGCAGCATTGAACGTCGACATTCCACACTTCATTGAGTTTTCTCAGACCAAGTGTTCGGATTGCGTTAGCATAGAGAAGTGTTTTGATTGCATGTGTGACCCGATTAACGACATGGGCGTTAAGCATTGCGTTTGGACATGGCTTAGCTCTGATTGCGCGTTGGACTCGACACAGTCACATGTTGATTGCGTTGAGTTTGATTGCATGAAGGATTCTGATTGCTGTAGTCATCATGACTGCATTCCTTCAGACATTGCCTTAGAAGAACCGTGCATTGCGCCTGGCTCTGAGATTGGTGATCAAGTTTCATCCATGTCGATCGTTAAGCGATTGATCGATTGCCGCGCGACTTTTGCCACGAATTGGAGGAGTTTGGATGTACTAGAACATTGCTCATGCCATGAGCAATTGAGAATTCGTTTTGGCATTTTGATGTGTTCGCTTGTCACGATTATTGTCGTGTTTTGCGGATTCATGAGTGCTCCGATTGATCGTAGAGCACTTCTGCACGGACTGCAACCAGTCTTCAGGTTTCACGGAGATTGTTCATCGGGATTCATTTCGGACGTTGGATTCCTTGAGGATGATTGCAGATTAGATGATTATTGCGTCTTCGATTGTTTTCACCTTGGATTCAGAGAGGATCTTCTTTGTCATTGTTGTTCGAGTACTGGAGTTTGCGATTTATTGCCTCAGGATTCAGCGATTCCACCACACGACGAGCTCGAGATACCACCCAGCCTTCCACACGCTGAGGGGACGACGGTGACATACCTCTCCCTCTCACACGGCTGCTTTGATGTGGAGGTGACGGCGCAACACTACATACCCACGCCACTCACAGCATCAGCAGGTCTCCCACCGCTCCACGTGACCCATGTGGGCCAAAGCGGGCCTGTCGCTACTGCCCCACCCTTGACAGTAGGCCTGCGCGGCCGATTAGCTCCACTAGGGCCGCCCGACAGCTGGGTACTCATGATAACATACACCCCACCTCTCGACGAATTCTGGCCACACAGCATGCTAGTGGCCGAGGGGGACTCCTTCTTGGTGCAACTCACACCTGATGGATGGCAACTGACCATCGACAAGCAAGTACCTTCGGCAGCTCGAGAGACCAGACGGGGGGAAAAGCCTGCGCCACAGCAACAGCCAAAACCCCGTACCACTCCACCGGGGACGGGACGACCACCAACCACAGACAAGCAAGACACCGAGAAACCCACCACGGAAGCATCGAGCAAGCAACCAACATCCTCCTCTGCAGACACATCAAAATCCCCCCCCACGACCCAGGGGGAACGGCGAGTCCACTTTGCTGCCGACACACCAGAACCACTACCACCCCAGCAACGGGAGGCCAAAGCCACAGCCAGGAACTTGATTGCTTGCGAGATTCTTCTGGCGAGCATTGTACTGCTTTCAACCAAGAGCATTGGAGCATGTGTATTGATCCTTTAGAGAACATTCAGGCTGCTCATTGTCAGACCGCGCATTCTGCATTCCACATTGAGTCCAGAGAAGTCTCTTGGATTGGGATCTTGCGATTCTACACTGAGCACAACCTTCGTGTGTTCTCGAATTGCACTGGCGCGAGCATTGGTCAGTTGGATCATGCTATTGCCGTTGACAAACCTGTCTGTGATGAGATTGAGCTCTTCAGGTTTGAACGCGACTCTGCCATTGATCTTTGGAGCTTGATTGAACACTTCCTTTCAGTGTGCACATTGCAGCTGAACAGTTGTCACAGTATTGTCACAACGTGCGACCATGCTGCGCACAGATCATTGCTTAGTCTTCGACCATTGCTCAGTTCATTACCACCACGACCCATTCGATTGTCACGTCATTCTGATTTGTGTGATGGATTCCTTCGTTATTGTTTCCATCATCATTGCTCATTCTCTGGTTCTTGTCAGCTTCGTATCTCATTGGCTTCGTACTACATGGATTGTATCATTTCAATTCATTGCAAGCCATTGTACTCCACGTCACCATTTTTGAGGCCTATGCCGACGCCAATAAACGCCGGCTGGCCAAAAGTGGTACACGGAGCTGCCATTGAGCATGTGCGTCGCAATTGCCTGTCACGACTCATTGTAATAGATCTTGTCCTAATAGAGAGCATTTTGCATATCAGCCGCGATGGCTGGTGTCGCAAAAAGAACTGCCAGTTCCCTCACAAGAAGGACGAGCAAACATTGAGCATGGGCATTGCAACCTGTTTCCCACGATGCATTGCAATAGAGTCTGCCATAATAGATTGCGTTTGCATGTTTTATTTTTGGGCTGCAAAAAAGTCGGTGCCACAAGAAACATTGCAAATTTGCTCATGGCGACCATCTTGCATTGTTGACGGTTACCACAATCTGATTGTACGACTTCCGACGACGAGTTGCATTGTCTTTTACGTTTCCATGGACATTGTCAAAAACTACTGAAAGACGGCACTCAAGAAGCGCTACCACAGATTGATTGCACGCGTCGCCATCTCGAGCCGAGGGACCGAGATTGTAAAGATTGTCTTGACATTGACATTCGCGTTCATGATTTTCTTTCGCGTTTCATGGAGCATTGTGCTCATGTCATTGATCGATTGCGGCTGTTCGATGTCGACCGCTCACACGCTTGTCCATTGCAGATTGCTTTGCTGACATTCAGGAGCATTGACATGATTCAGAACGAGTCAAGCATTGGAGATCAAAGACATTGCGTCATGAGATTTCATGGACCCACTTCCTTGATTGTGATTCCATCTGCTGATCGTTATTTTTACGTTCGGCATTCTGAGAATTGCTGCCTCGTTTCTACCCATTTGCGCATTGCATCCTCCATTGAGTCGAAGCAAGCTTCTTGTGATTGCGATCGTGTGTTTGTTCATCACTCTTCGCGATTTCGCTTCTTGATTGACGAAGAACACTGCTGTGCATTGGGATTGCGTGCCGCTTACGCACATTCGCCCCTTAAAGAAGATTGCGAAATTTGGCTTGAGCGTGATTTTGCGCATTGTTGTGACATTTGTTGTCATTCACGCAGACCGTTGGACACATTGGGCGTGAGAGAGCTTGAGAGAGAGTGTGATTGTCAAAAGACTTGCGGATGTTCAGTCACGCGTTGCATTGATCTCATCTTGGAGATTCTCAGGAAGGACCTCACCATTGAATCTAAGGTTGTGAGTTCGATTCCCACTCACCACGCAGATTGCGTTGATAAGATTCATGCAGAACTATTGCTGTTCTGTGCATTTGCTGAGGAACTCAGAGATCGTGACGACAAGTCTGGAGGTCCATTGAGACTAAGGTCATCCATCCCATTGAGATCGCTGCATGCGATTTCACTGTGGTATTGCATCGACCACGTCTCTGATTGCAGTTGCATTGGATCCGGTTTCTCATTGCCTCTTACTCGCCTTTCCCTCTCGATTGTCTCGATGTCATTGGCTGAACGACTTGTTCATTGTCACTCTCAGCTTATCATTGCTGATCTTGATTCATTGTATTTGTTCATCCACACCACCGTTTCTTTCAAGTGTCTGGATTGTCATTATTCTTTTGTTTTGGTGCTTCTCTATTGTATTGACGAGCATGACATTGATTGCACGAACTGGATTCCACGGATTGGAGGAGACCAGCTGATTCATTGCCACGTCTTTGGTGTTTCAGGCTCGTATGAGCACTGTGGCAGGATTCGGCATTGCATCTACTTCTCTCGAGTGACTGAGGAACCTCTTGGATTGACTAAGGAACCTCCGATGATGTATTCCTGCGTACCACCGAGGATTGTCACTTTCAAGGACACATTGACACACTGCGGACAGATTCTGATGACATGTTCTGAGATTCACATGATTAACATTGAATTATGTCGACTGATCATTGCGAGTCGGTTTCATCGATCTATTGTCTCTTTGAGCATTCCTCATTTGTCCTCATATTGTGGATTGTCGGAGCGTATGTCACTCTGTTTGTGCATTGAGGATTGGTCTTTCATTCCTCTGTCATGTGTCTTGGAGAAGAGCTATTGCCCTTCCATTCATCATTCTGCTCACTTCTATTGTCTTGGTCATCACTGTCTTGAGATCCTCATTGTCTTATGTGAGTCGATCTCGACTGTGTTCGGCCACCATTCCATTGAGAAAACCCCAAAACCAAACAAACATTGTTTCATCTGTTTCACGAAGGAATTGACTCATGTCCCTTAGTGATGCAAGGACAGTCATTGTTCAAGGGACCGTGTTTGCATTGTGTTGGACAGACTCCAATTACCTGAGGAGAGTCTATTGCATGTTCTACTGAGGTGCATCTTCCTCAGAGTGCGTATTGCACCAGTGAAATAAAGAAGAGGTGAGAATTGAGAGAATTTGTTTTCTTGAGCTCAGCATGTGCATTGACAAGGCTTTATTATCATTCCTGTTGAGGCAGATTGACCTCACAAAGGAAAAGGTCTTGGACCAACCATTGTGTTTGAATTGCAAGAAACAAGAATTTATCTTTTGAAGAGATTTTGCATTTGATTTTGAATTGTACAAAGCATTGCAGTGAAGAACCGAACATTCATTGTTTCGAGTTCTACACCATTGACCGATTCGACGTGTTTGGTCAATCATTGTTGTGTTAGCAACATTGTACATAGCACGATTTTAACAGCATTGAATGCGTTTTGAGATTGTAGCCTGGAGTGTGTGCTTTTGTGATTGTTCGATCATTTTCGCTCCCGCTTGCGATTGCTCGTAGATTGAGAGAAAGCGAATTGCACTCGTGATTGCGTCAGATCGACCCATTGATTCTGATTGCCATGGCCACCAACGGAGCCCCGACATTGCGTCCACAGGCATTGGGGCCTGAGTATGTCATGGGCCCACCGGTCGTGACATTGCCGACCGAATCGCCATTGGAGCAATTCCAGTGCATTGTGAGCTCGATTGGCGAGCACGCTCATCCACCGCACCACCAATTGAGGTGGAATTCGGAGATGGTATTGGCTCGCATGCGAGAAGCCATTGCCATTTTCTACGCCCACCTGGCGTGCATTGCCTCGTCATTGGAGCTGCACCAATGGAAGACGACACTCATTGAGACGACACAGATCATTGACAACTACGTCACTGTGACATTGGGAGAAGATGGAGGATTCATCCACCTCGATTGTCCGATCATCATGGAGATTGCAGAAATGGTGCATGACGCATTGGCAGCGTATTCGCGCCAATACGTGAGATTCAACAATAAGATTGGCGGAATTGAAGTGCAACTTGGATGGACGATTGGAAATAAGTATTCCCGGACATTGACTCCTGACGGATTCCAAGTTCATTGTGGATTCGCCAATTGCATCTTTCTCAACCTATTGTGGGTTTGCAACCGCTGCATTGGGACGATGCGCGAGACAGACATTGTGAACAACATTCCCATCTTTTCGCCAAACTTGGCGTTTCTCATTGTCGACAAGACAGTTGAGTGTTACAACGCATTGAGAAGCATATTTACGCGTTCCATTGCTGTCACCTCGTACAATTGCCGACATTACGCCCCTGTGGAGGGCTTGATGGATTGGTTCTGCTGTATTGCTCTTCCAGCAAGTCTGATTGAGTCACTGAATGCTGGATTGACCACGGTGATACCCACGCCATTGGGTCAACTTAATGCCCAATTGAGCGTGGATGCCGCATTGAGAAAACTCTGTCATTGGTTTCGACAGAGCAGATTCAATGAGGCCCAGCAAAGAGAATTGGTGAAGTTTCTCATTTTCAGACCATTGAAGCGCGTGACTGATACTCGATTGAAGACTCCCGATGGTGTGGGAGGCTTTGCGTTGTATCATAATTGCTCTTTTCTGTCAAGTTCATGGTGCCTAACCATTGACAGCCAGCAGCAGCAGATTGGCACGCACACCTACATTCTGGATGGATTGGTGCGCCAGCACACCATTGTGTTGGAATTGCCTACCTTGACTGTTGAGTCATTGGCATCGATGATTCACAACAGCAGCTATGCGAATTGGTTTCCAACGGAGACGGTGCATCGCCATTGCACTTTGCCATTGACGCATCTGGAGATTGAAGGAACACCGGAATTGTACCTTCTTTCGGAAAGTTGTGCAGAGATTGCTGCGGATGACATTGCCAACAGCGCAAGTGCAGGCATTGATTCGAGCACAGATTCAGTGCCATCCTCATTGACCAGAGAGGAGTACAACGTTATGTTGTCTACTGCCGCTGCGATTGCGAAGAAGCGCAAAGGTCAGTGAAGATTGCCAGGAAGATTGGCGATTGATCCATTCACAAATCCGGATGAAGGATTGTGCCTACGGCATTGAGGAACAGTGCAGCACAGGCATTGCTGCCTCTCAACAGCATTGATTTTGATTTTGATTCTTTTCTGCTCCTATTGTTCTGGATTTGGCAACAAGTTGCTCGGATTGAGCACTGGACAAACTGGACAATTGTAGTCCACGCTGACGATTGAATGCTGATTCCATTTCCTTCGACTATTGCAATGTACCGACGGAGACATTGTTTCCTGGGTGATGATTGCTCGTAGTTGGAGATTGGACGACTGCAGGACATTTTTCTCCTACGCCATGGAATCATACTGCGTCGAGCCGGTTCATATGCAACGAGTGAACAAGTTCCACTTTCAACAAATGCGCCGCATTTTTGGTCTGAAGTCTTCGTATTATCATCGAGTAATTCAGCCGTCCAACATCCCATGCTCAAACCAATATTTGTCCGAACGCGCCAACACGTTAGTCCCAACACCCACGCCATCCCAACATTTTTCCTTTCAGCGACTCAAACTCCTGGGCCACATACTCCGCCATCCTGATTCGCACGAGTACACATCCGCTTTTTTGATATCGGGAGCATACAGACATGCTCGCGGATCTACCCGGAGTGGCCGACCCAGTTTGCACTGGGCCGAGATGGCTATGTCTGAAGCCTATATGCGGATACGACATCAAGATACGGCTATGGCTCCTGGCTTGGCCCGAATCCATGACTCATACTGGACAGTGCCCTCCATTCGCACGGTGAAAACAGTGCATAACTCTGAACACATCCCGCGCATGGACAACACAAAGCTTTTTCGAGCGATAAATCCAAGAGCTCAAGACAGGTTGCTATGGAATGCGCTTCTTACAAAGCCTCGCAAAGCAGACACATCATGATACTGCCATGGTTGATGGGCATACAGACCATATGCCTTGCACACACAAAAAAAATAAATGAGCGGAGATTGTACAGGTGTGATTGCTGACGTGCCCCGTCGCAATCAAGGGACCGTGTTAGATTGCATGGTCATTCTCCAGCTCATATTGGCTACGGACATTACGATGCCTACCAATTGGCATTGGCTCAAGACTGGCTCATTGCATCCAGACAAAAGTCTGAGACCGAGTGATTGCATTCTGGAGCTGATTGAGATTTCCGGTTGATTGTTGTTGCCTTGATTTCTGCACACTCCTGGTGATTCTCGAAGCGCTATTGGAATTTTTCAATCAAGCCCCCCTTAAGCCCCCCTTCAAGCCCCCCTTCAAACCCCCCCTTAAGCCCCCCCTTCAAGCCCCCCTTAAGCCCCCCCTTCAAGCCCTTCGTCCCCCCTGTTTACTTAAACCTCTAAAGGGGTAGTACTTACAGCAATGTCTTGGTCGCATGCTCACATATATACATTCCGCTGCTCACTGGTTCAAGTGGTTTTACCGACTTGTAACAAGCTCTCTCTGCGTAGCAGAACAAAACAATCGCTGTCCGTGTGCTGGGCGTTGCCTTAGATCCCACGGGACTCAAACTGGTCATACACTCCCACAGGAGTAATCCTAAAGGGGTGTATCGGCTCAGTTTTCTGGTAGCGGAGCCCGGAAGGGCCGCCCGCCTCACAAAGCACCGCAACAGCGGTCGGCCTAGCCGATCGCTTAGCAAAGCGGGCTGAGGCAGCACCATGTCGAGCTCGCACAGCGAAGCCGACGGCAGCTCCCAATCCTCCGGGGGATATGAGGACGAAGAGACCTCACAAGGTCCAGCCACTTATGTCGCACAGTCCTATGCATCATCTGACCGCATGCTAGCCCAACTAGGCATTACGCCTAAGATTGCGCCTGCCTATGATGGCACCACTTCGTGGTTCGAGTATGAACAGTTGATTGACGACTGGTGCGACATAACAACGCTGGATGACAACAAAAGAGGTCCGTCTCTCAAGACGAGGCTCTCCGGATTGGCCGCAGTGCAAAAAGAATCATTGAACCGTGAAAGGCTTGCAGCCCCAGATGGAGTTGATTACTTCAAGAAGAAGATGCGTCCATTCTTCGTGAAGGGAGAACAGTATGTTTTCCTATGGCGATTCCTTGGCCTGTTCAAGGCCTGGAAGGGCAACCAAGACTTTGTTACTTGGATTGCAAAGTTTGAGATCGTGCTACAGCGCATGAGAAACTCTTGGATGAATCTCTTACCAGAGATAAATCTGGAAGATCACAACCCTGATTTTCTCGCTGCAGTACGCCAAGATCCAACTTTCGTGCGCATCACAGATGCCAATGAACAGGAAGTATTCGCCGCACGAATCTTTGAGACGTGGAACAAGGAACGCCTTGATGTGCATCGTAGGGCGTTTCCACTGAATGATAATCTCCTAGCTCTCCTGTTCCTAGTGCAGTCCGATCTGAATGAAACACAACGTGAGAGGTTGGTTACAGCATTGACCAACCAAGGTTACCGAATTGAGACCTACACGTACCCTGTGGTACGTCAGACCATGTTCGATCAGTTCTCGACGACCAGAACTGGTCTGCAGGATCCCAATATTCGGCATACTTCTCACAAGAAGGACCGACACGGACGGAGAGACCAACGCCGCAAACGCGGAGGTCGCAACTTCCTCATTCTCGATCAGGGTGAATACGACGGAGTCGATGGATTCTGGCTCCAAGATGAAGACATCCTTGAGGAAGGCTTTCTTGCCGCTGAAGATGAGGAAGCTGTCTTCTGGACAGTAGATGACCATGAGGCCTTCGTTGCAAGGAGATTCAAGAAAGGAAGAAGACCAAGAATGCGTCCCGGATCACCGGGAAGAGCAAAGGGTGGCAAGCGAAAGGGACGTGGCCGTTTTAGGTCATACCGCGGAAAGGGGAGAGCCAACCAGGCAGAACATGATCCAGCCGATTCCAGTTATTTCGGTAAAGGAAAAGGAAAGGACAAAGGAAAAGGTGGAAAAGGCAAATGGAAAGGAAAAGGAAAGGAAGACAAAGGAAGCTCTTTCAAAGGCACCAAAGGAAAGGGCAAAGGTAAGGATACAGCTAAGTCTGCCTCCTTACAAGGAGATCAAACTGCATCTCCACATGCCTATGAAGGTTCCACCACACCGAGCTGGGATTCATGGTACGAGGACAGTTATTACACTGACTCCGGTTGGAATTATGCCGCTTACGACGAAAATACGTCTTACACGTACTATGCACAAGCCTCAAAACGTAAAGCACGGAGAAAGAAGAGAAGGAACAACAAAGGATCATCAGGTAGAGGCACAGATCCGAGCGCGCACCATGATACCGTGTACAACTCCTCAGAGAGTTATCTGCCTTTGGCGCATGATGAACGTCAGGGGCCAGGTGTGGAAACTGCAACAGCAGTGTTTCCGTTGCAGCACACCGTCCTATCTGCTCTGACAGAGCGGATCAATCTTGATCGAAGCCCTACCTTTGTCATTTTTTAGACTCAGGTTGTACAAGGGCCATGGGATCCCGCTATGCGGTGAATCGGCTTATCAAGGCCGTCAAGCAACATGCTCCAGGCATGATTGATTTTACTTTCTCACCTTCGAACACGAAGTTCTCCTTTGCAGATAGTGAAACAGCTCTTATCAAGGAGCGTGTAACCTTGTGGTTCAACACAACTCCCAGACGGGATACTACCATAGAGGTGCTCGATCAAGGCAAGGTTCCCATTCTATTTTCCATTGAACAGATGAGGAATCTCAGAATGACCCTTGAGTGCAGTCCGACCGCGGATCTTGCAACGTGTGAAGCTTTTGGTCTTTATAAGACCCCCCTTCCGATCAGTACCAATAATCATCTGGTGCTAGACCTTCTAAGCTTCACTTCCACAAGGAAGTATAGTCCTAAGGACGGTTCTTCTTTTCAAGCAACAGAAACTGCCTTAGGAGCCAAGAAACCGAAGGAAGATAGGCGATCTTACAAAAAGATTCCAGAAGGTCGTTGTCCAGCCTGTGCAGGACAAAAGAAGCCTCACACTTTCCTGAAGGGATGTGACAAGGCACCGGAAGGTGCAGCGGATCCTCCACCCAAGGGCATTCCAGGCAAAAAGAAGACACCTCCACCAGACCCCGCAGAATCCTCTGCTAGAAGGTCTGATCCACCAGAACCATCTGGTGAACCACCTGAGCCTGCCGAATCATCGGAACCAGCATCAGGCTCAAGAGACAAACCTTCAGAAGTTTCGGAACCCCCCGAACTTCCTTCTGAAGAGAAGTCTGAGCTTCCACCAGGAAGGGTAAAGACTCCAAGAGGTCTCAAAAATCTTCTCAAGAAGAAGAAATATGCAGTTAAACCTCCAGTGGAGGAGAGATCTGTTGTCCCAGGAGCTGATCACGGGACGGAGGTAGAACCACTTGAGTCAAGAGAATACCCTGCTCCTAGGACAGACTCACCAACAGGTGAGGGAGACCACGGAGAGGAAATTATACCGGAACCGGCACCCTCTCTTCCTATTGCCCTTCGTAGGATTCACGAGAAGCTCAAGGATCCAGTTGAACTCTACAAGCTTCATCTGAAGCATCGTCACATGAACATAGATCAGTTCAAAAGAAGGACAAAGGCTCTTCAGATTCCGAAGGAAATTTATGAGCTCTATGACCAACTGGTCAAGAAGTGCTCAGCTTGTCAGGAACACAAACGAGCCCCTTCGCGGGCGAATATATCAGGTCTAAGATCCGAAACCTTCGGGGATCTAACCTTTGTAGACCATGGCGAATTGCCAATTCCTGGCAAGGCTAGTCGACTTATATTTCTCATACTTTATGATGGAGCGACAAACCTCCTGACGTCTGAAGTTGTTCAGGACAAGGAGGAACATACTACCATGTCCATCATGAATGACTATTTTGAGAAATACCAGATCAACCCAAAGGTTGTAGTTGGAGATCAAGCCTTCATGACTCCAAAAATGGAGGCCTATTATAATCGGCAGAACATCAAACCTGTAGCCACAGGCCCAGGTACACCATGGCCTAACA